GAAAAGTTATTTATATTTGAAATTTAAATTTTAGTTATAAATTTTTATTTTGTGTCCACCTCATTCCTTTATTTTTAATGCAATAAAATAAATTATCGATCATTTTTATTCTAAATTAAAATAAATAGTAGGCTCAAAATAAATATTTTAATATTTAAAGTTATTAAAAAAAATTAAAGAAATTTAAAAAAATTAAATTAAAAAAAAAAGTTGTAGAAAATTTAGACTCAATTAAATGTTTTTCTAGGATTTTTCTATATTAAATAGAAAAATTCTTTTTTTTAGCCGTTTGTCGGCTCGTGATTTATAGCCACGTACTCGAAACTTATGAGTTACAAATATTCGAGAAATGATATTACCCACGAAATACGAACAATCATGATTTTAAAAAAATAAATAAATAAAATTATAAAAAAGTACTTTAAAAGTTATGTCAATTTTAAAGAGGATCTATTAAAATTTCAAATTTAAAAACTATAGGTTTAAAGAATATAAGAATAAATAATTTTCAAAAAGTAGGTTTATTCTATAGTACTATGTTAGGGAATCGGACTATTAAACTTAAACCATAAATATTCGACTGGGTTATATATATATTTTTTTTGTTTGAATTGGGTCGATTTTTGGAAAATTTGAAACTTCGAGTTAGTTCGTGAGTTGATTTTTTTTTTTATCGAGATCAGAAAATAGGGTTACAATCGAATCCTACCTTACTTTCAAGATTATTATGAATATTAAGAATATTTGACGTTTGTAACTAATGTTAGTGATAATGTTGCGACTTATGAATGTTTGATATTTGAATTTTATGAAATTTTAGTTATTAACGTAACATGTATTGTAGATAAGTATGCTTTTTTAAATATTAATAATAATAAAAATAACCCGACAATCAAACCCAACTCGAAAATAGAGGGTTGGGTTCGGTTGGGTTGTGAACTTTATTCGGGTTACTCATGTCACCAACTCAATCAACTCAAAATTGTTGAACCTGACTCGAAAATAGAGGGTTGGGTTGGGTTCGATTGTGAACTCTATTCGGGTTACTCATGTCACCAACCCAACCAACTCAAAATTTTATGAGATTTTAGTTATTAATGTAACATGTATTGAAGATAAGTATGATTTTTTTAATATTAATAATAATAAAAATAACCTGATAATCGAACCCGACTCGAAAATAGAGGGTTGGGTTGTGAACTCTATTCGGGTTATTCATGTCACCAACCCAACCAACTCAAAACTGTCGAACCTGACTCGAAAATAGAGGATTGAGTTGGGTTCGGTTGTAAACTCTATTCAGGTTACTCATGTCACCAACCCAACCAACTCAAAATTTCGGATTGGTCTAAAAAAACTTTCAACCGAACCTATAGAGACCCTTAATACAATGTTTAAAATTATGGGGCTTAAATCATTATTATAATTATTAAAAATGTTAATGATGTGTAATAGTTTTATGATATATTAAAAGAAATTAAATCAAAATGATTTAATAAATATAAATTTGAATTGATGTCTAATAAAATCCTGAACTTTCGATTTTATTTTTTTATTCCTGAAATTTTAAAAAATATCGAGCAGATCAATAACGTTCGACATAAAATTAAAAATTTTAAAAATAACTATGAAGTTTCTATGATCGAGCCACCAGAAAAGACGGTACACCTTCTTGACATAAGATACACGAACGATACAATTATATAATCTCGTTTTTAGGTAGTATAAAGGGTAAATTGGTCCAAAATTTGATCGGGGTCAAAACTCAATCAAGTACTGATAGCTGACTTAATGATTTAAGACTTGTGCGATTAAAGTTGTTGTATACGAATGGAATACTCGGGGTCGAGCGAGATTCCTGGTTGAAGAAAAAAATCTTAAGCCCGTGCAAAATCAAACCTTAAAATCATAAATAAAGGTTTGACAATTTAATTATTAAACTAATTATTTACCATTAAAAGTTTATACAATTATATTAAAATAATTTACTTGAAGATAATTAAATTAAGTGATACGATAAAATGGTTGGTAGTTGAAATAAAACGTGTTTCGTCCAAAAGCATTACTCTGAGATGTTATTGATTCATTAATCTCTTTCAGAAAATATATTATTCTCGATAGAATCGGGTTTAGAATAACTTTATAATAAAAAAAAGTTAACTTTTAAAATAAAATTAATTTTTCTCATTTTTTAAAAAATATTATTCTCCACTCTATTCGATCTTAATTATTATTATTATTATTTTAAAGAATCCATTTGGAATAACTTTTCAAAAATATAATTGAGTTTTTAAAAAATAAAAAATAAATATTATGTTTGGTATAACTAATTATGTGAGTGAAATTTTGTTTTAAATAATAATAATAAATAAATAACAAAGTAGCTCAAAAAATTAAATTAATTTTAATGGCTTTAGAAAAACCTAAAAAACTCACCGCTAGTGAATATGATCCGCTTTAGCCTATTACGTATCGTTGTTAGTCTCACGATTTTAAAACGTGTTTGAAGTTGGTATCGATTTTGTAACAACTAAAGCCCACCGCTAGCAAATATGGTCCACTTTAGCTTGTTACGTATCGTTATTAGCCTCACGAGTTTAAAACGTGTCTGATTTAACCCATTACATATCATCGTCAGTCTCACGATTTTAAAACGCATATGCTCGGGAGAGGTTTCCACCCCCAATATTTCGTTCCTCTCTCCAATTGATATGAGATTTCACAGCTGCATAATTGTTCCGATAACTAATCATAAAACTAGGTTGTTGAGTTCGTTAGAAATAATAATATTTCTCCGAACTCTTCTCCATCATGGAGTATGTCGACTCAAAGTATATTAAAAAAATATCATACAATAATTTTAAAGCACGAATAAAAAAAATATAATTTTAAAATAGATTCACGAGCATATATTAGACTTTTTTTTAATATTAAATGCAATTATAAAAGTTTAAAAGATAAAATTCATTAATAAAACTCAAATATTTAATTAAAAAAAATATATATTCGTAGATTGAGATTAAATACCCTACAAATAATAATAATAATAATAATAATAAGTAATTAATTAAAGTATTCCATAATGGGCCGGCCCATGAAATCGATGGATTGGGCCGGCCCACGAATCCAATCAGACAAGGGCTTTTAGGTAAATAGTAAAATTTAACCTAAATTTTAAATTTAATCAGATCCAACCATGAAACCTTTTACATATAAGTATAATATTTATTTATCGAATTTTTATTTCACGCATTTTACATATTAAATAAAATATTAATTTTGTAATTTATATTTTTATTCTCTCTGAGTTCTAATTACTCTACTTTTTTACCATTCTCTGTTCGACGGTCGTATCGTATTTATCTGGTAACTGTGATTAAATTGTTTAACGACGATGGTTTATAAAAAAAATTATAATATTTTTAATAAAATAAATGTTTGAATCTATTTTGATCCGTTAATTTTAAATTAATTGTAAAGTTTTTGGAGAAAAGGGATGTTTAATTAAATCTTTAATTTCAATATTTTAAGTTTAATTTTAATTAAAAAAACCAAAATCTCTATCCAATTAAATTTCCTTTTATTTTTTGCCATTTTAATTTTATAAATAAAAAGAAAAAATTGGAACCCATTAATTTGTTGGGATGTCACCTTTTTCCTAAGTGGATAAGATAAAGAATTACTAAATTTGTATGGATTTTAAAAAAATTATACAATTAATATCCAATTAAACATAGTTTAATTTTTATTAAGATATATATAATATTAAACAAAAAAATATTTAGACACTAATTAAATAAATATTTAAAATTTATTCTGTAATTTAAAAATAAGAAAAAATATTTTAGGTCTTTATAATTTTTTTTTTTGACAAATTAAAATTAGATAGAAAAAAAACGATTAAAATAGTTATTTTAAAGGGGAAATAGTGGGCCCGCTTCTAGAAGGATGTGGGGCCCACATTTTGCAAACTTGGAGTACAATTGATTTGTTCCAACAAATGTAGATTTGGATTTACTTCTAGAAGCCCTGACACGTCACGTGTTCCACGTGGACAGGGACTTTCCACCCTCACTAAAATTTCCAAATAATTAGACTTTTTTTTTTTAATTTTAATTTTTAAAAATGTTTTTAGTTATAAATATAATCCCACTCTTTCATTTTTGTTGGTAATATATTCTAAAATTGGAAGGAGGTTCTCAACTCATAAAATATTAATAATAGCGAATTTTAATGATTACCGTCATATTTCTCTATACAGATATTTCAGATAAAAAATAGTTGTAATTGATTATAGATAGAGATATCTGCATGGCCGGGTGGAAACGAAAAAACCTTTCACGTCATTATCTCCGTCTCTTATTTCAATCCTCATCCCTTATTTATTATTATTATTTTTTTTTTAGAAATATATATATATATATTTTGTGAAAATAGTTGTAAATAAATAATGAATAATTTTCAAAATTTTACTTATTTATTTTATGATAGATTAATAAAAATATCCCTAAATTTTCAAAAGTTATAAAAAATATTATTACAAGAGGATCAATATTTTGTTTAAAAATATATCTACTTTTAATAATATTTTAGTACTCTATTTAAAAAATATCCATAAAAATTTTAAAAGTATATAAAAATATTTAGTGTTTTTAATTTTTTTTAAAAAAAAGTTAAGAGATTGTTTTAATTTTTAAAATTTTAAAATTTTAAATTAAGCATATTTGTTTTATTAATCAAACTCAAAAGTATTTTTAAAACACTTAAAACGAATGAAAAGTATTTTTTTTTTAATGTTTTAAGAGTAATTTTTTTTTAGAGAAAGGCAAAGTTGAGAGTCATTTTTATTAATTTAGAGGAAGAAATAAATTCCAATTCCACGTCAGCACCCAATCCACTCCATTCCACGTCAGCAAACTTTAATTCTAATTTACACGACACCTTGGAAAAATCTCCCAAACAAAATTGAAAATAATAATAAATAAATAATGGACAGAGCCTCACGATTTCTTCATCAATCTTGTTGCTAAACCCCCGTTATAATCGCCATTAACGCCATTCCTCTCAACAAATTCCCCATTCCCATCCATGTCCGCCACCAAGCTCTTCGCATTCCCGATGGCCTCTCTCCCGCTCGCCACCGGATCGCGCCGCTCGCAAGCCAGTTTCTATGATGTTCTCCGCGTCAAGAACAACGCCTCCTCTATCGAGATCAAGACCGCCTACCGGAGTCTGGCCAAGATTTACCATCCTGATTCCGCGAGGAGATCGGAGTGCGATGCTTCTTCTGATGATGATGATTATGGTGATGGATGCAGTTTCCTCGAGATTCACAGTGCGTACGAGACGCTTTCGGATCCGGAAACTAGGGCTCAATACGACCTCGCTTTGGCTTCTTTTACGAGACGGCCGTTTCTTCGATCGCGGTCTAGGCCGCACCGGCGATGGGAAACGGATCAGTGCTGGTAGGGATTTGGTGTGATTTGTGATGATTTTGATTTCTGTACAGAAATAGTTTGAATGTTCTTCGTATTGGAGGAATTTTTCGCGGTCTTGGCCGCACTGGCGATGGGAAACGGATCAGTGCTGGTAGGGATTTGATGTTGATTTGTGATGATTTTGATTTCTGTACAGAAATGGTTTGAATGTTCTTCGTATTGGAGGAATTTTTCGCGGTCTAGGCCGCACCGGCGATGGGAAACGGATCAGTGATGGTAGGGATTTGTTGTTGATTTGTGATGATTTTGATTTCTGTACAGAAATTGTTTGAATGTTCTTCGTAGTGGAGGAATTTTTCGCGGTCTACTCCTTATTTGATGTGATCTTAATTCTGTTTCTGGAGTTGAATTCTGAAGAACTTTGGATCGAAGACTCGTTTTCTTTTCTTTTTTGGAACGTAATTTTGAAGGGATAATATTTGAAAGTATGGTTAAATTTCGCTGTAACTACAGAAATTTGGTTTTTGTAAGAAGGATTTGATATTATCTATAACGGACTCATATAACATTGAAAATGAACTTTTACAGACTAAATTAATAAAAATATTTTTTTAATTATTACAAAGTAAAAAAAAACTCAATCCAAAAAAGTATTTGCATGAAACAAAAGATACCATAAAGCTAGGGGACACTTATTGTTTGAGGTCTACCAATGCTAGATGTATGAACATCATGAGACTGCATGAGTTGTCCTGTAATAAAACCTGTTGTTGCTGATACTTTCTTCTCGGTTCCTTATTCCATAATCTGAGCTCGGAGAAGGAAGAAATAAGAGGGTCCTGCGGAGAATGTGGTTAGAAATCCATAATAGAGTCCAACCACAACGACCTTTTACGACATCTCCAATCACACCAGGATATTAAATAAATGGAATTGGGAAACTTTTTTAAAAATAAAAAAATAAAATTGGGAAGAAAACATTTAATAATTTATTTTAAAAATATTCTTAAATTTTAAAAATGGTTAAAAAAAATATAACTTTCAAAAATATTTTTGAGTTTTTTAAAATTTCATTAATATATTTTTTTAATTTAAAAAATACTCTATTTTTTTAAAATACAAAAAATAATATTATTTAAAAATATCTATCAACTTTAAGAATAATATTAAAAAGTTTAAACATAATCTATAAGAGGTTGGTTGACCCTTTTTTTTTTGTCTATACATTTACAACAATTATTTTAATTTCTAATTTCATAAAAAAAAAAAAAAGCCAATGTCTAGCTACGTGTTGGCAATTGAATAAAAAAGTCACGTTAAATCTTATCTTGTTTCGTATTATTATATTTGTTCGTATAATTACTGAAAACCAATTCGACGTAACTTCAGTTACGGTCGGGAGGGCGATTTCCCTAGTAGAATTGAACAATTGTTAAGGTTGGGACGAGGAGTATATTATTTGCCCGCTCCAACCTCATTTTTGCCCCTACCCATCCTTTCTCATTCCTATCAAAATAAATAAATAAAAAAATATATATATTAACTAATTTAGTAGATACAAAATATTAGTTAGATTTGAAATTTAAATTTAAATTTGATAAATTAAATAATTTTTAAAATTTCAAATATGTTAATTGAAAACAAATCGTATAAACATTTATTTTAAAATTTATGAGATATTTTTTAAGTTAAAATTATAGAATTATTAAATATTTTTAACATTTATAAATTTATTAACGTTAAAATACAAAATTTATACTTATTTGAAATTAGAACTTCATCCATTTACGTAATTAATAAAAATACAATTAAACTTTTGTTTAAAAACTCATAAATTTTTAAAAATTTCAATAATATTTTTAAATTAAAAAAGTCTAACAAATATTTTTAAAACTAAAAAAAATAAAATAATATTTTATTAAAAAATATTATTGAACTATCAACCTTCGAAAATATAGTTTAAAAAATGTTTCAAAAATAAATTTAAAATTAAAACAATTTCACTAATAGTTCAAAATACTTTTAAAAAAACTGAAACATCACTAACAGTCTCATCATATATTGATGATAATAATTTTTTTATAAAAATAAAAGATTTTAACGTTATTTTTAAAATTTGACAGCATACCACATTTCAAAAATACTCACAAACTTTCAAAGGTAACATTCAAACATTTGGAGATAATCTATGAGGTGTCGACACGCAGTTTCATCTGATGATGATAAGAATTTTTTGTATAGAGATAAAAAAATTTAATGTTATTTTTAAAATTTCATAGATGGTATATAACCGCAAGATTATTTTTTGATTTTTTTAAAATTAAGTTAAAAGTTTAAGGTTATTTTTTTAAAATAATGTTAATATTAGGATATTTGGCGAATATATTTTAATAATTAGATATGAAATATATTTTAGATATTTTTAGTCAATTAATATTTTTTCTTTATTAGCGGTATATTTTATCTTATATTTAGGAGATTTAGTTAGTTATATATTTTTTTATATTTTTTTTAAGTATTAGTTGATAGTTTGTATCCTATTTATAAAGTGCATGAGTGGTAAACATCATTAATGCTTTTGATCTTAATTCTATTTCTCATTCATCGTTTTTAAAAGGTTAGAAAATAATATTAATTATTATTTTTTTTTTTTGTAAGTTAATTGTATTTTTATTAATTTAGCGACGAAATTATGATGAAGCATTCCAATCCTTAGAATTTGAACGGCTTCAACAAACATCGAATTGAGGGATTGGAAAAGGCGAAGGCAAAAGAAAACCCAAATACTGTAGTCAATTACCTTTCTTAATCTCCAAGTTCTTCGTGAAGTTGAATTCGAGCTCCGCAATTTCACTCAGATTTCTCCGCGAAGATTCTCAATCCGAGGTGATTCAGTTTACAGAAGAAGAAGAAGAAGAAGAAGATGAAAATCACTGTAATGACAGCCGACGAACAGATTCTTTCCTTGGATGTTGATCCCAATGAATCTGTAAGTTTCTTTATCTTGTTCATTCAGAAACGCCCAACTCCACATTCCTGCATTATCTTCTTTGTTCGATTATATCTTCTTTGTTAAAGCTCTTCCTCTTCGCTGCCAAATAGGTGGAAAACGTGAAAGCTCTGCTGGAGGTTGAGGTGAGGATTTGTCTTTTGTCTTGATTGTTGTGATCGGTAGCTGAGGAAAATTGGGATATAGAACTTGTGGGAATTGAACGTTTGGATCTTTACTGGGGAATGAGTTAGCCTTTTGGCGATTTTGCTACGTTTTGTGATCCGAAACTTCGTACATTTAAGATTAAGTTCAGTAGAAGCTCTCTTTTTCAATGGTTAGCTCATTCTATGTATGTGTGACTTTGTTGATGCTCAGACCCAAGTACCGCTTCAGCGGCAGCAGCTGCTGTACAATGGCAAGGAGATGAAAAATTTTGAAAAATTGAGAGGCTTGGGTGTTAAAGACGAAGATTTGATTATGATGGTGTCTGCTGGCGCTTCTAGGTGCGTTTCTCTCCTTCTCATACTGCAGAATCATTTATTTTGATCTGGAGGTATAGTCTTATAGGATACTCGATAACATTGTTGAGGATCGTTGGGTGGGAGTCCCACACATTGACTAATTAAAGGGATGTTCATGGGTTTATAAGGAATACATCTCCATTGGTATGAGGTCTTTTGGGGAAACCAAAAGCAAAGTCATGGGAGCTTATGCTTAAAGTGGACAATATCATACCATTGTGGAGGGTCGTGATTTCTGACAAACATAACCTAGTAATTGCACCCGAATAACTATGATTACCAATGGGTCTTATGGATTAGTTGATTAGTTTAGTAATTTCCAAATTATTTTGTTTGCTGAGATCTTAACTAAACTTCTTTTTATACTACAATATGTCATAAATGGGGATAAAATGTAAAGAAGGCCCCTGTTATTATTTTCTCTAAAAATAAATATCCATATTCTCTCTGAATCGCCAATGAGACCTATGAAATCTTTGAGAATTGACCACATTTTTCTCACCCTTTATCTAGATTTCTACCATCTCAGTCTTCTCTTTCTTAGACTTCGACAAAAATATAAAAAAGATAGTATGCTACACTTCATGGAAATACAAGCGGTTCCCAAACAACCCAAAGTCAAAGTTTGAGGCTATTAAGGACTCCCTAACCATTATCGTGGAAGCTGCTTTTGCCTCTCACTTTTTTGAAGACTAAGAAATACCTCAAAGAGTTGACTAAGATCATACTAATCAGGATGATAGCGACGAACAAGGACAAACCTTTCAATTGAAGGGTGGTGCTCACCTTGTTATTGGAAGGAGGTTCAAAAGACTTAGTGGTAATCTCAGCATTGATAACATCAGACACAGAAATATAGCCTCCTTAGAAAATGATTTGGAAGTACATACATGAGGGTGAAGCTCTATAGTGCAGAATTGCTAAAGGGAAGTATGGGACTTACTCAATTGACTCTAGGCAAAATAATAAGGATAAAACTATATAATCCACAAGACCTCCTTGGCATCATATCATCAAGCAAAAAAGCCTCATTGAACAAAACTCCATTGCTCACTCTCAATGCCTCCTCAATGAACCAACTCAGTGGCTCCCTAATGAACTAAGAATCATCTCCTTTATACACTGAAATTTTGAAAGACTCTTGTCGAAGGAAAATTAGTTTTTGCTTATGGGAGCATGCTCATGGTGATATCAAGACACAAGCTACGGTCCAAAGACTTTGACTATTGAGAAGCTTATGCGCCCTTTCCAATGGGTGAAGAAGGAGCGCACTTGGTTCAGTGGGAAGTCATTGAGAAGCTTGTAAACTTGGGGGGTTAGAAATTGAGAATTTAAGGACTCGTAACAAATCTCTGTTAGCTAAATGGCTTTGGTGTTTCCTCGTTGAGCTTAATTCTCTTTGGCATAGGATTATTGCTAGCAAGTAGGACCCTCATCTTTTTGAGTGGCCGTCAGGTGGAGTTAAAGATCAGTGGGTGGGGGATATACACCTCTCCTCTACATTTTACTGTATCTATCATTTGTCTTTTTTTAATTTAAAATTGTTTGTTGTCTGACTTTTGGTCTGGTCGGGAGCTCAGTTTCCTTCTCTTTTGGGTTTCGTCACTCTTGGTTCAATAGGGAAGTGACAAATGTTGTCTTTCTATTGCCTTCGATTGGGGAATTTGGTTTAGGTTTGGGAGGAGAGATATTCGTGCTTGGAGTCCCATTCCTTTGAAGGAATTCTCTTGTAAATCCTTCTTTTGCTGTTTGATCCTCTAGTATGTCCGTCTTTTCTGCTCTTTGGAGGTTAAAGATTTCAAGGAATAAGAAGTTCTTTACCTGGCAAGTTTTACACGGACGAGTTAACAATTTGGATAGGTTTTGAGGAAAATGCCCTGTTAGCCTATTTTGTTGCATTCTCGGTCGGAAGCCAAAG